CTCGTGAAGATTCACGCTATCACACACCTGCCGTACGCCATTAAGACCAGGGGCATCCCGGAGGAGTATTCAACCAATCTATTTGAGCATTCCCACCAGTCCCTTGTCAAGAGGCCCTACCGCCTCTCGAATCGGCGACAGATCAACAGCACCATACTAGCTGTGGATGAGGTCCGGCGGGCGCTACGGGCGTTGCCATCCGCGCTTCAGACGGACGACCAGTACTACACAGCCATGAGGGAGGCGAGTCTTGTCTCCATATGACCCTTTGTTTTGCTAGATCCACGTGTCGGAAGCGTATGTTGGCTATGGTCCACAGGCACAGGCTGCGTGTCATGTGGCATCATTATTCCGTTGGGGCATGCATCTCCTGTTCCCCCCCCCCCCTCCCCCCGAGGTGCAGGCCATGTCTACCGGGACACCCACGATGTGCCGCACCTCGACTGCCATGGTTGTCACGCCCGGCCCAGGGGCCAAGCGCAAAGCGGTGGAGCTGTGGGAGAAGTACAACGCAGCAATTCCTGACTGCCTGCAACATCTCCCGGTGTGCTTCCGGGAGGCTGGCATTGAGATGACCTCGCTCCAGGTGTGTGTCATGGTGGATGGCATGTACTTCCACCCTGTCTCCATGTGCGCACACTTGTCAACGTACTCCGGCGTAATATTGACTTGTGCTGTGCGCGATGGTTGGGGGGCCAGTCAGCCCTTGTTCACTAGCGATGGCTCAGCTCACTCCTGCCGAGCTCACTCTCGTTTGCTCAGCTCACTCTCCGCTGCTCAGCTCATTCTCCTCTGTTTAGCTCAATCTACTCTGCTTAGCTCATTCTCCTCTGCTCAGCCCACTCTCGTCTGCTCAGCTTACTCTCTCCAGCCCTGTGCTCTCTCCCCTGCTCAGCTCACACTCACTGCCTCAGCTCACTCTCCCCTGCTCAGCCCACTCTCTCCTGCTCAGCTCACTCTCCCCTCCTCAGCTCACTCTCCACTGCTCAGCTCACTCTCCCCTGCTCAGCTCACTCTCCCCTGCTCAGCTCACTCTCCCCTGCTCAGCCCACTCTCCCCTGCTCAGGTCACTCTCCCCTGCTCAGCGCACTCTCCCTTGCTCAGCCCACTCTCCCCTGCTAAGCTCACTCTCCCCTCCTCATCTCACTCTCCCCAGCTCGGCTCACTCTCCCCTCCTCAGCTCACTCTCGCCTGCTCAACTCACTCTCCCCTCCTCAGCTCAATCTCCCCATCCCAAAATACCAGGATCAGAAATACGGAGTACATATACAGTAGGTATGGCATAGGTACGTCTGCTACGGAGTAGGCCTGCTATACGAAAATCTATGCCTACAATCTAGGAGAGATCCTCTTTTTTACAACGCCCTGAAGAACTCACTCTCCCCTGCTCAGCTCACTCTCCCCTGCTCAGCTCACTCTCCCCTGCTCAGCTCACTCTCCCCTGCTCAGCTCACTCTCGCCTGCTCAGCTCACTCTCGCCTGCTCAGCTCACTCTCGCCTGCTCAGCTCACTCTCCTTTGGACACCCCACTCTCCCCTGCTCAGATCCCCCTCCCCTGCGCAGCTCACTCGCCCCTGCCGTGCTCACTCTCCCCTGCTCTGCTCACTCTCCCCGGCTCAGCTCACTCTCCCCTGCTCAGCCCACTCTCCGCTGCTCAGCTCACTCTCCCTTGCTCAGCCCACTCTCCCCTGCTCAGCTCACTCTCCCCTTCTCAGCTCACCCTCCCCTGCGCAGCCCACTCTCTCCTGCTCAGCCCACTCTCCACTCCTCAGTTCACTCTCCACTGCCCAGCTCACCCTCCCCTCCTCATCTTACTCTCCCCTGCTCGGCTCACTCTCCCCTCCTCAGCTCACTCTCGCCTGCTCAGCTCACTCTCCCCTCCACAGCTCACTCTCCCCTGAGCAGCTCACTCTCCCGGCTCAGCTCACTCTCCCCAGCTCAGCCCACTCTCCCCGGCTCAGCTCACTCTCCCCTGCTCAGCCCACTTTCCACTGCTCAGCTCACTCTCCCCTGCTCAGCCCACTCTCCCCTGCTCAGCTCACTCTCCCCTCCTCAGCTCAATCTCCCCATCCCAAAATATCAGGATCAGAAATACGGAGTACATATACAGTAGGTATGGCATAGGTATGTCTGCTGCGGAGTAGGCCTGCTATACGAAAATCTATGCCTACAATCTAGGAGAGATCCTCTTTTTTACAACGCCCTGAAGAACTCACTCTCCCCTGCTCAGCTCACTCTCCCCTGCTCAGCTCACTCTCCCCTGCTCAGCTCACTCTCCCCTGCTCAGCTCACTCTCCCCTGCTCAGCTCACTCTCCCCTGCTCAGCTCACTCTCCCCTGTTCAGCTCACTCTCCCCTGCTCAGCTCACTCTCCCCTGCTCCGCTCACTCTCCCCTGCTCAGCTCACTCTCCCCTGCTCAGCTCACTCTCCCCTGCTCAGCTCACTCTCGCCTGCTCAGCTCACTCTCGCCTGCTCAGCTCACTCTCCTTTGGACACCCCACTCTCCCCTGCTCAGATCCCCCTCCCCTGCGCAGCTCACTCGCCCCTGCCGTGCTCACTCTCCCCTGCTCTGCTCACTCTCCCCGGCTCAGCTAACTCTCCCCTGCTCAGCCCACTCTCCGCTGCTCAGCTCACTCTCCCTTGCTCAGCCCACTCTCCCCTGCTCAGCTCACTCTCCCCTTCTCAGCTCACCCTCCCCTGCGCAGCCCACTCTCTCCTGCTCAGCCCACTCTCCACTCCTCAGTTCACTCTCCACTGCCCAGCTCACCCTCCCCTCCTCATCTTACTCTCCCCTGCTCGGCTCACTCTCCCCTCCTCAGCTCACTCTCGCCTGCTCAGCTCACTCTCCCCTCCACAGCTCACTCTCCCCTGAGCAGCTCACTCTCCCCGGCTCAGCTCACTCTCCCCAGCTCAGCCCACTCTCCCCGGCTCAGCTCACTCTCCCCTGCTCAGCCCACTTTCCACTGCTCAGCTCACTCTCCCCTGCTCAGCCCACTCTCCCCTGCTCAGCCCACTCTCCCCTGCTCAGCTCACTCTCCCCTCCTCAGTTCACTATCCACTGCTCAGCTCACTCTCCCCTCCTCATCGCACTGTCACCTGCTTGACTCACTCTCCCCTCCTCAGCTCACTCTCGCCTGCTCAGCTCACTCTCCCCTCCTCAGCTCACTCTCGCCTGCTCAGCTCACTCTCCCCTCCTCAGCTCACTCTCCCCTGCACAGCTCACTCTCCCCTGAGCAGCTCACTCCACCCTGCTCCGCTCACTCTCCACCGCTCAGCTCATTCTCCCCTGCTCAGCTCACTCTCCCCCGCTCAGCTCACCTTTTTCGCAGCTGTATTCCTCGATTTGTGTTGGTCCCTGTCATGTCGTCTCCTGCCTCACTCCCAGACTTTAGTGCGGACCTCTACCCTTTATGTTTTTTCTCTATGCAGTACCCTCGCAGCCTACTCTCGTATTCCTGCCCTTGGCTCCGGAGCCGTATGCTCTGTGCCGCACGTGCCATTGTCTTTTCCACCCTGCTGTTTTCTATTTCCCCACATGGTACCCTCCCCCTGGCCTTTTATCGCTTTGGTATGTTGTCTTCTACAAGTAAACCTGTTTCGACCCCGCTTGACCGTTCTGCCCATTCCGCTCACAGTGGGCTATGTTGTCCTCTGCACTATGCACCACTTGCCCTATTTTCGAGCTCCCGTCCTTGCCTCCAACTCTCTGCATACTGTATTCAAGGCTCATGAACCCCTCACCCCGTCGCCATGCCCTGTAGCCTGACTCTGGCCGCTGATGTCTCTGTGTGCGGGGTATACACCCCGTACCTGCTAACTCTTGGTTAGTGTTCTCTGCATCCGGGTACCGCTCTGGTGCTGTGTGGCTGGTTCGTACAGGTACACTCAGCGTGCGCGTTGCTCCAGCACGACGCCCAGGGCATCCCCACGGGCGAGCCAGCTTGGGCAAGAGCATCGCCATCATTTCACGGAAAGCACTGCTTTTCATTCGTCGCTTTGGTCATGGATGGGGGGTGGCGGCTGGCACGGGTCCTGCTGCTGTTCAGGGAGTCTGGTCGTGGCAATGCAGGCCTGTGTTTTGTTCAACTGCTTGCCCCTGCAGGGCACGATTCTTTGACGGGCCTTGAGGCATTCGTATTGGCTGGTCTTGGTGTGCTAGCCTGTGGGTTCCGTGTGGTTCCGGTCGCCTCAATCAAAAGAGTTGTCCAAGTGGAGCAGTCGTTTGAGCGTCCAGAGGTGTGGTTGCTCAACAAGTACTTGTTCTAATGGTCGTACGGTCCATATGTTGTGGGTGGAGCAGTATTCCCACCCGCGTGCAGGTTGCGTGCATTGGTTGACGTGAGAAGTTACGTCTGGCATATAGAGAGTATTATCCACAGTTTTAGCGTGGCATCTGCATTAGCTGCTCCTCATACGTGGCATGGTTGCAGACATTAACAAATAGTGGCTTATTTGTTTCTTAGGTTTTTTATTACACGTGCATAATCGCAACAACTGCAATCTCGTGTACGGTTCTCCAGCTGCTACGCTGTACCGCGCGTTTCGTGTATGGTGTAAGCCTGTTTAGGTTCTGCGGCTGGCGGACATTGCAATGATGATCTTTTTGTCCGTTAGCCCGCCCCCAAGCGGGGTTGCCTTGTCGCTTTCTCTCTGCTATGCGGTTTTTTTACAGTCATGGTGCATTGTCCCCACATCGTCAGACGCAACGGGGGTCTCGCAGGTTGGCGAGGCTATCGCGGGGCTGGGTAAGGTGTGTCGGTGTGGTGTGGGTATATACATCATCCCGTCTCCAATTCGGGACACGTTCTTGGTACTCCCTCGGCTTGCAGATGGAGTATTTACACCGTAGCAATAGCCCACATACTCCGGGGTGTGCTACGCTTTCGGGAAAAGATTGGCCTGTAGGGGAGGGCCTGTTTTCCAAAATTTGGGACGCGGGTCTTACCTGACAGGTTTCCGAGCGCCTGCGCATCCTCCGGTTTTGGCAGCGGGCACGGGCGCGGAGGAACGCCGAGAGATTAAAACCGTCAGATAGAAGCAGGCTCACCCGTCAGATTCCCGTGAGCCTGAGCATCCTCCGGCTTGGGCAACGGGCACGGGCCCGCGTCAGGCGGTCCCTTCTTCCCGTCCTTCCCGCCCTTTCCGCCTTCTCCGCCCTTCCCCCCGCCGGTCTCGCCGACTCCGCCCGGTCCGCCCGCGTCCGGGGGGCTTCGGCCATGCTTCGAATCCTTGCCCTTCAAATCGATAAACCCGGTGCGAACCGCCGTCGCTGCGACGGATGGTAACGGGACAGACGGGAGCAGAATGCAGCGGCAAGGTGATGGGATTGAACTGGTTAACAGACGGGAACTGATATTTTGAATTTAGGAATTCGAATGGATTTTCTTGGTGATGGCGGGATGAAATAGAAAGTATGGTGTACCGTAGGACAGATGTCGATAAAATATTTACTCGGATTCGCTTATCAGGGTTGTCAGTAATTGCCGTGAAATACGAATGTGAGGATGGGGCTCAGCTCCGATATGTTGCCATCCGTGGGCACATGTGTCGCCAACACCAGTGGTGGGGCATGATGATGCAATGGTGAGGATGGGTTCGCAGTGGGGAGGCGAGCTTGGATCGGGAAGGCGGAGTTGAGAATGGCACTCACCGTAGTTTGCTCCGACGATGACTAGGAGAAGAAGAGACAAGCCGAGGTAGCGCTGCAGCGCCATCGGAACGACTAGACAGCAACCGTGAATGAATGCTGAGTGCTGAAAGCAGGGCGTTGGTTCGCAGCGGCTTGGAGGTAGAAAGTGGTGGTTTGGGGGATTGGAATTGGACTGAAAGCAGCTCGATAGAGAGCACTGACTCCAATTGTCCGAGGCTGCCAGTCGAGGGGCTTTAATGCACCACGAGGAACAAGCATCGTAAGGGGAGGGGAGGCCGAGATTGCTCTCCTCATCCCCCGATTGCGCGATCCGAGAAACCTGTGGAATTGATGTGCAATGCGCTGCGGAGAATGCGGGTTGACGCAACTGGCGGGGTAACCTGGCGGGAAGCGGACCATGTCCGCATTCGTGACATTTTTCCTGTTACCGCCCCTGCCCCTACGATTAGATGGTCCAAACAACGCGGCTCTGTACACCAGCGACGTGACGCAGTCAGCAAGAACCTTATCTCACCAATTTCGCCGCAATGGTGGTAACCACTGAACGTGTACGAAACAAAGCATAACAACTGTTCGGGCAGCCCTGTCGGAAAAAGGCACCCCAAATCACACCACAGATACAGCGCGTACAGCGGCACACAACAAGGAAATTTGAACCAATCAGCGTACAAGAATGACAATTCAGGTGAAGGCTCGTGGATGTACGGTGCTGTACACACTGCCCTGCTTGTCCCCATCAGCGCAGAAGACGGAGCCACAAGGCTCTGAGTTTTCCGCTCTACACACAGATTTTGGTCCCAACAGACGACTGCCAAGATCTAATGATGAAAGGAATAATAAAATGGATGATGCAAACTAGGTATTCAACTGTCAAATGGTTCGACATGGTAGATTGGGCGCATAATTCATGTTATTGGATCGTGCATATTCAGAACCACAACTGGGTTCCTTCAAGCATTTTTTTTTTGTAGGAACGTGGCATGTATTGTGTTCCCCCAGATACAGGACCAAAGCAAGAAATGGCGCTATATCCATGGCAAATACCGTACCATATTCCCTCATACGGGACTCAATGGACGTTCTAGGACGGCACTGTAAACATCTGCCTGCCAGCAGCACATGTTAACTGTGATGACCATGTCCAACAACACATACCTACCGACTGGCCAGTGTGACTAAAAAGGGACATGCCACACAGCCGCAGCCCAAGTCCAAGCCGAAGCATCTCACCCTACGCCTTCCCTTTCCCCTTCCCCTGCCTCTTATGCCCCTTGTGTTGCTTCTTCCCCCCGCTGCCCTCCCCCCCGCCCCCTCCCCCTCCCCCACTCCCCTTCCTCCCCCCCGGCCCCGTCACACTGGTCATCCTCCTCCTCGCTGCTGCAACCTTCCCAGCCCTCCGATTGAGCATCTTTGCATCCAACGGCCAGTATGCGTGCGGCTCCAGCTTCCCTTCCTTCTTCAGATGGCCACCCGCCCGCCTGCCACTGCCAGCAGCGTATTCATCCTCCGTATAAGCCAACCCACTACCACTCCATGTCTGCTTCTTCCCGCCTCTTTTATCTTTACCAGTAGCAATGGCTTGACCGGAATTTGCTTTTGCCTTCTTCCTCCCACCACCACCCCCTCCTCCTCCCCCTCTTTCTCCTCCTCCTGCTGCTGCTCCTCCTCCACCCCCCTCCCTGCCTCCTCTTGCCCGTCGGCCAAACGCCAGCTCAGCAGCTCTCGCCACCGCCAGGCTGGCATCGCCCATCGCGACGTCATCATCCTCCATAACCCCATAGTCCAGGTTCCTGCCCCCATCATCCCCCCCTGTGTCCACTCCCCCCTTTGCTCCTCTCCACCTCCCACTTCCCCCACCCCCCTCTGTCTCATCGGGAACAACAATCCTTCCATCCTCAGCGTAATCAAAGCTCGAGTCCTCACCCTCCTCCCCCTCATCATTGCCCTGATCACGCCGACGCTTCCCATCCCCAGCAGCACCAGCCGCAGCAGAAGTAGTGCTTCCTCGGGCGGTCTTGAGCAGGGGGGCGGAGAGTGCTCGGCGCGTGCCTGAGAGGTCGAGGAGATCCAATGGCGCGTCGCCACATGTCTCCGTGATGCGCTCGTGCAGCTGCGGCCTTGCGTGCTGGGACTTCTTGCTAGCCCGGAAGGGAGAAACGGGACGGGGGGGGGAGAAATAGCAGGGAGGGTGTGAGGAGGGCGAATGGAGAGGGAGAGCCAAGGGGGGATTGAAGCACTTATCTCTGTGATGCGCTCCTGCAGCTGCGGCCTGGCGTGCTGGGCCTTCTTGCCGGCCCAGGAGGGGGAGAGAGAGAGATGGGAGGGAGGAGAGGAAAAGCCAGTGGGGAGGGGGAGAGAGGAGTGAGACAGGGGGATCCGTGCGCTCGTGCCGCTGCAGCCTGAGGTGCTGGGCCTTCTTGCCGGCCCTGGAGGGAGAGGAGTATGGGATGGGGAGAGGGGGGGAAGAGGGTGTGAGGAGAGAGGGAGACGGATGGAGAAAAGAGAAGGGGAGGGAGGAGAAAGAGGGTGTGAAAGGAATGAAGGAAGAAAACAAAACTCAATGAAACAAGATAGAAGGATGGGAAGGAGAAGAGAGGCCAAGGAGAGAAGGCGGAATGGGGGAAAAAGCAGGATTGCAGAGTGAGAGATGTCATGGCATGCTATGATGGCATGCTGTCAGACTGCAACTGCTATGGGCAGAAAAAAACATTGCTGCAACACCCCATGCCACGTCAGCACCTGGATGAGAGGGCGTGAGACCACGCCGACTTCTTGGACCCCTCCTGCCGGGACGCTGACTTGGCCGCGTGAGATTTGCCGGCAAACACGCTGCACTCGTCCTTGTCAGCATCGCTGAAATCCTCGTCATCACTGAAGTTGCCGTCTGCTGAGGTGTCAGAGAAGAGATTCGAGTGGCTCCAGTCACTCGTTCTGTGGGTGGTAGTGGAGAGGGGAGTGGGGAGAGGGGAGGAGGGGGGGGAAGTTGGTGGGAGGGGGAATGGGGGGGGTTGGAGTTGGGTGGGGGGTTTGGGGGGGGGAGGGGAGTGAGGGACATGATAGAGATGAGGCAGACACACGGAGAGCTCAAGAGTGGAGACGAGCAGCAGCGCTGCTGATCCCTTCAAAGCGCCTTCGCACATCACTCAGAAAGCTGTGCACGCACATGTCCACCCACCCCCCACCAACCCCCCCTGGCAAACCCTTCACCAGCAATCACCTGGCCATGCTCCTTCCAGATCGATCGCGCATCGCCCCCCTCCTCGCCTTCGTGCCACTCGAATCGACTCATGAGTCCCCCTCCGCCCCCCCCCCCCTTCTCCCCATGTGCACCCACAGCACCACTCACCTGGCCATGCTTCTTCCAGACATGGTCGATCGCCCGTCACCCCCCTCCTCTTCCTCCCCTGCCTGCCAACCCCCCTTCCCTCCTCTCCTCTTCTCCTTTGCTTTGGCAGCCTGAGCCACCTCCTACCGATGATACAAGAGAGGACAAAGAAGGGGGGGGGGGGGGGAGGGGGGGGGAAGAGGGTTTGGCTTGGGGAGTGGGGTGGGAGGGTTCACACTGAGAAGCTGCTGTGCCATGCTGGCAGTTACTTGCTGACGGGTCACCTTTCTGATGCGTCACCTTTCTGACGTGTCACCTTGGTGACGTGGCTCAATTGCAGAGGTGTGTGTGCAGGCGCTGATGCACCTCCGTCACCACAGCAGCCAAGGTGCCATGCCAGCACCGTTATGCGATGACGTGTACCATGTGCAGAGCTAAGTGCTGACGTGTACCATGTGCAGAGCTAAGTGCTGACGTGTACCATGTGCAGAGCTAAGTGCTCACGTGTACCATGTGCAGAGCTCAGTGTTGCGTGTCACCCACCTTTCGAATGTGTGTGAGCAGGCTCTGATGCTCCTCCGGCACCACAGAAGCCATGATGCCATGCCCGCACCACCGCACCAAGCGCTGCACTATCTTGCGCACCTGGGAGGAGAGAGGGAGGGGGGGGGGCAGAGCTTAGTTGCATACGCCAGTGTATATACGCTGGCGTATATACGCAATACGCTCAGATTGGGACCTTGTATATGCTACGTATACGCTAGTCCAGGCCGGCAAAAAAAAATCCGGGCAGGGGCAAAAGCACTGGGAAAAGGGGGGGGAGAAGAGGGGGATGTGGAGCAAACGGTTCCACTTCAACAACAACCAGAAAACATAGACTTACGCATAATAAATGTGCATCTTCCCAAGGCTTCGAAGGCGCCAGGCGAACTCGGGGGCGTCGCCATGGCTTAACTAGGCATAAAAGATATGCATCGTGCCAAGGCTTCTAAGGCATCAGGCGGACTCAAGCGTTGCCATGGCTTAAAGCCCGGGTCCCATATTACAAGACGCGAAAGCCGAGCGTGGCACGGGATGGGGCTGTAATTTTTCGATTGGTTACGAATTTGGCGAGCACAAATGGGGTCAGACGACCACGCGCAAAACAAAATGAAAACAAACGCCCATTTCGCTGCCCACGAACTCAGTGAGGAACACAGAGAAACTCCACAGCCAGCGCAAAGTGCATCCCAGACTGGGCGTGATTCACGCTGCTGTCAGAGGCGCCAGGTCCAGCCTAACACCACTCTGAATCGATCTGGGCCCAGCCGCAGCACAATCTAAATCTGTGCACCCCTGGAAACCATACCAAACTATCGAGCACAAACCCAATACACCCCTTTTTCCCGCCAATCAACGGTCACGGCCCGTTACGAACGAGGACAAAGCCAATAGAAGAGCAAACACCGTGAGCAAACGACCGCGTTCAACCCAGTGAGAACAGCGGCGGCTCTGGCAGAGACGATTCGAGCGTTCGGATGACAGCGCGTACAGACGACGGAAAAAAAAAAAAATCAATCGAGAAAAGCGGAGGGATTTAAAATACACCAAAGCGAAGCCGTTCCAGCAAGCAACGCCAACACCTCGCGAAAAACGTGGAGCCAGGGTGGCGGAACGGACGCGTACCAAGACCGAAATGCAGGGAAGGAAAAACAGGGACGGGAAAGCACATCGCAGGGATTCAGAAACGGGCAAAACCAGCCGCGCGTTGGCAACTGGTCATCGTGAAAACAGAGAAAGAGATGGGTGAACGCGCAAGGAAAGACAAACGCCCACGGGGGCTCCAACACCAGGTCGGATACTTGTAAAGGAGGGGCAAGCAACAGAAAGAGCGCATTAGCAGGAATAATAGAGCGAATGAATCCTTCAGAAGCCTCCTGTAGCAAACGGATTCGGGAAACCCCCCTGCTCACCAAGCGTGAGGCGCAGGGGGAGGCATGGGCGGGTGGTTAGGGGAGGGAAGACCGAGGAGGCGAAGAGCGGACACTGAAGACGACTGATGCAGTTGCTCCACGCCAACACCAGAGCCTCCAGCCGCACCACGACTACCCCCGAGACCCTGCACGACAGCACCCCCATGATGAGAACCCTCTCCAGCACCAATGCAAACCCCAGGACCACGGGGACAAGCCACGACATTACCCCCAATTCCAGCACCCTCCTCAGCGCCCGCACCCCCAGAGCTCGCGGACCCCTGCGGCTGCGGCGGCAGCGGCTGTTGCAGCAGCTGCTGCTACTACGGCTGTGACGACGGCTGCTGCTGCTGCAGCGGTGGTGGAGGAGACACAAAGTCAGAGACAGGCTGCAAAACGTGAGCCGCAGGGCCCTTAGAGCTAGCCAACTCCTCCGCCGGGGAAACCGAGGGAAGGGGAGTGACGTGAGACACACCAGACCAGGTAGGACGGGGAGGGAGGGGAGCAGGAGCTACTGGGGGAGTGGGGACAAGGATTAGGGGCAAGGTAATTGGGAGACCTCGGTGGGAAACAGGGCGTAGAAGGAGACAGACTTGTCCAAGGTAACATCACGCGAGTGAAAGAAGCGGTGAGACAGCGGGTGGTAAAAGTGCCCGTCAGACGCATCGAGGGAGGAGCCAAGGAAGACACAAGGGACGGTGCAGATAGTGAACTTGTCCGTGCTAGAGGCACGAACCCCCAGACATGGAACGCAGACGCATCACCAGGGAACTTGGTCCAGAGAAGGGCTGGCAAAACCTACGGCTGCTAGGTTTGTGGCCACAGGTGAAGCTGGTGAGCGGCGTAGCGAACAACGAACGGCCACAGAAAGTGGGGTGCACCGGCGTGGATCATGGAGGTACGAGCCACCTCCATGACCAGACCGGTGCGTTGCTCAATAACCCCATTCTGTTGCGGGGAGTCAGGCAAGGTGTATGACTGGGTGATGCCCTCCGCACGACAGAACTGGCCAAGCCGACCAGAGGCGAACTCACCGTCATGGTCGGAGTGGAGACGGAGCACTGTCAGTGCGTGGTGGACACGCGCAGGATAAGAGCGTCAATCACGTCGGACTTCTGCTCCAAGGGAAACACCGTCGTGTAGCACGTGTATTCGTCTATGAGCACCAGAAAGTAGGACTCGCGACGCGGCCCTGGGACGGGGGCTGGGCCCCAGACGTCCAGGTGCAGCGTATGAAGGGGCCCAGTGGTGGGGGGAAACGAAGAGGAGTGAGGAGCACGGCGCAGCAGCGCCGAGCTGCGCGAGCCACTACCGCAGCCAACGCCACTAAAGCTGCCAGGCCACCATGTCGGCGGGGGTCCCCACGGCTACTGCTGCTGCGACCGCTGCTGCTCCTGCTGCTGATCCTGCTACTTCTCCGGGGAATCAGCCCCGGCCCCCTCATCTGTACCACCGGTACTCCCACCACCTCCGCCACCCCTCCCTCCGCCACGCCCCTCCCTGGGGCGGTGGCCCTTACCCTGATGAGGCTGTGCTGAGGCCACCGCAGCGGTCTCAGCAGCAGGGGCTGTCTCAGTGACAGCGGCAGAAACGTCAGAGTAAGTGCACTAGGAGGGGGCACAGCCCTGGAAGATAGGGACCGGCGTAGTACCGCTAGACTGAGCGATAGTGCACTGGCGGGTCTCTATCGCGGACAGGGCGGTCACAAAGACAGTAAGGGTGAGGTCAGCGGGGTGGAGAGTAAGGAAGAGGTCGCGGGCAGTGGCGAGGCGGGCGGGAAGGCGCGCAGCAACGAAGTAGAGGGTAGCGCCGAGGGGGGAAGGCAGTACAGTGAGCTGGACCTCAGTGCTAGCAGCGT